GGGGGGGGGCAAACATGGAATACGGAACTGCTAAAAACTCAATTAAGCAGCAGTTCTCAAAGTAAAACACACATTATTTGATCCCAACAAAAAAGGAGAATTTAGCTGTTCTAATTAATCCCGTTCTGAAGATCAAAACACTTTTTTTTAGAAGAGAATTTGAAAAAATGTGCATAATTATATTGGAAAAAGACTAGATCAAATTGCAGTTCTCTTGAGCACATATATAACGCTTGGCTTAGTATTTGTGCCAAAAATTGTTCATCTACATCGGATACCAAAGCGTGGTGATGAAAGCAATGGTACCAAACCACTGTATCATCCAAATTTATCAAAAATCGAACAGAAGAGGTATCAGCAGCTCACCAATGAAAATGCCGATCTAAAGTTGCAAGTGGAGCACGTCTGTTTTCTTTTCTCGCATTTACCTTGTCAACAAATGCTTTCCATTGTTAAAGACGTCCTTCGTGACTGGTCCCCTGCATGAATACCAAAACACGATTGGATGGACTTTCAGGGACATGCTCAACGCATTCGCCGCATACGTTTCAGGAACTGGCAGAGAGCAAAATATCGTCAGAGATAACAAAACCAGGACATGTTAAATCAACAACACTGAACGGCTCTAGTATAGTACTATTCTAAAATACCGATCATCCTCACTAGGTGTACAGGTCTCATGAGAATTTCAACAAAAATTTTGCTGTGTGTAAAAACTATAAATAGGATTTTTTGCCCTAGCAAGTCACTGTTTGATAAAACTTCTGTAGAAAGAAAAGAGAATTGCGGACTTTCGGCAACGGCTTGGCAAATACGTTCAGGAAACGGCTGGTATTGCGCTTCGTGAACGAGTTTGTGGTAGTATTAGCGATGAAATTACGACGCAGTCATCTTCAACAATACTTAAAACAACTGCTCTTTTGGAAGCTCGTGAAAATACGGGTTAGTGTGCAACTGTTCCTTTCTTTTCCAATTTTCAAACATTTTTGTACAAATTATGCAAATGTGCGAAATGGTGAGATTTTGTTCTCGTGCACGAATATTTTTCTGGAAAATTGAACTCTACAAGTACGAAATCTGGGAAATCAGTTCACTATTCTGTCTGATAGCTTTGGAACTTCGATGTCCATGTTATGGAAAAGTTAAAGCACTCCAATCAGTTTAGTTCTCAAATTAGCATTTTGCCAACGATATATCAATTTCAGCTTTGACGTTTTTATGCGTTTTTGCTGTGCAGCGCTATAACAGCGCTGTAGCGCCGCTACAGCTAGCAACCCAGGCTGGAACGCACCAGCCGAGCCGGTGCGATCATGCGTTTTTGCATCAAACTTTGCATCAAAATACGCAAATTTTTAGTTCAT